GGTCGAACTAATGTCGATCGCCTTGGCTATTGGGGTATCCCGTCGTGGTTCGAACGAGGTCGAACTAATATCGATGGACTTGGCCATTAGGATGTTGCTTCGACTGTCGATGTAGTATCCCATCGTGGTTCGAATGAGGTCGAACTAATGTCGATGGACTTGGCCATTAGGATGTTGCTTCGACTGTCGTCGAAGTGGTATCCCGTCGAGGTTCGAATGAGTCGAACTAATGTCGATGGTCTTGGCTATTGGGGTGTTGCTTCGACTAGTCGGAGTAATATCCCGTCGTGGTTCGAACGAGGTCGAACTAATGTCGATGGCCTTGGCCATTAGGATGTTGCTTCGACTGTCGAAGTAGTATCCCGTCGTGGTTCGAACGAGGTCGAACTAATGTCGATGGCCTTGGCCTTTAGGATGTTGCTTCGACTGTCATCGAAGTGGTATCCTGTCATGGTTCGAACTAATGTCGATGGCCTTGGCCATTAGGATGTTGCTTCGATTGTCGAAGTAGTATCCGTGGTTCGAACGAGGTCGAACTAATGTTGATGGCCTGGGCTATTAGGATGTTGCTTCGATTGTCGAAGTAGTATCCCGTCGTGGTTCGAACGAGGTTGAACTAATGTTGATGGCCTTGGCCATTAGGATGTTGCTTCGACTGTCGAAGTAGAATCCCGTCGTGGTTCGAACGAGGTCGAACTAATGTCGATTAGTGGAGATTTGATTCTGTACATACAATGGCGATTTGATTTCATACATACGATGGAGATTACAATGGCGATTTGATTTCATACATACGATGGCGATTACAATGGCGATTTGATTTCATACATACGATGGCGATTTGATTTCATACATACGATGGCGATTTGATTGTGTAGTCCCTTTATCACTTCGCCCCGGAGATTGTATCGATGGGCCGAGGTGATGAACAACGTTCTGATCCACGGGGCATCCCCTTTGCCTCCTCGTTAAAAACCTCCTCGGGAAAACCCGATTGGGACAAAACCCGGGTGAGGGAAAAAGAGTACAACTTAGGTGACGCCTTTCAGAAGTGAAAATACTTGAGGTGGGCGACGTTCCAGTTATTTTAGAGTAGTTTTCCCTCCATTGTTTCTAGTTGGAATGCCCCTTTGTTTGCTACTGCTATGATTTTATACGGTTTGTCCCAGTTTGTTCCTAACTTTCCTTCATTTGGATTCTTTGATGCCTGTGTTTTGTCCTTGAGGACGTAATCGCCACTTTGAGTGATCGTACCTTGGCTTTCTTGTTGTAGTATCTTTCTACTTGCTGCTTCTGGGCTACCATTCTTATGTGGGCTATGTCTCTTCGTTTTTCTACTTCGTCTAAGTCTTGTAGCCTACTTTCATCATTATTTTCCCAACTTACGTTGGAGTATCTCAGGCTAGGTTCCCCGACCTTAACGGGTATGACTACGTCGGTCCTGTAGACCAGTAAGTATGGCGTTTCTCCCATGTTGGATTTCGGCATAGTACGGTATGCCTATAACACTTCAGGTAGTAGTTCGGGCCATGGCCCTTTAGCTTTCTCGAACTTCTTTTTCAATATGTTGAGTATCACTTTGTTGGAGGATTTGGCTTGGCCGTTGGTGGGAGGATGATATGGCGTGGAGAGTATCTGTTTGATGTGCCATTTTTTGAAGAATTCAGTCGTTCTTTTTCCAATGAATTGAGGTCCGTTGTCGCAACTGATTTCCTTGGGGATGCCGAAACGACATATAATATTTTTTCAAATGAAGGCGATGACTTCCTGCTCACGTATCTTAGTGTATGTACCTGCTTCCACCCATTTAGAGAAGTAGTCAGTTAAAACCAAAAGGAAGCGTACCTTGCCGCGTCCTGCTGGGAGGGGGCCGACAATGTCCATTCCCCATTTTATGAATGGCCAGGGCGAAATGACGGAATGGAGGAGTTCTCCTACTTGATGTATCATGGGGGTGTAGTGTTGACATTGCTCTCATCTTTGGACATAATTTGCGGCTTCTTTTTTCATGGTGGGCCAGTAATAATCAGCGCGGATGAGGCATCGAACGAGGGTGCGGTTTCCCGTGTGGGCACCATAGTGCCCTTCGTGTACTTCTTATAGTACCCATCTCATTTGATGTGGTCCAAGACATTTAGCCAGAGGGCCGCCGAACGTTCTTTTGTAGAGATCATTGTTTATTAGGCTATATCGGGCTTCCTGTACCCGGAGTTTTTTGGCCTCCTTCTTGTCTTGTAGAAGTGTTCCATCCTGCAAATATGCTACGAAGCGGTTATGCCAGTCCTAAGTTAAATTTATAGAATGTACCTCAACGTGGTCGATTGCAGAATGAAGGAGTGTGACCACATTCTCTTTGTTGATATTCTTGGTGGCCGCAGCCAGTTTATCAAGGCCATCTGCTTCGATGTTCTGTGCCTTGGGTATCTGGTCGAGGCGACACTCGTCAAACTCTGGTAGTAGCTTGTGGATTTCTGACTGGTACCTTTGTAGCCTCTATTCTTTGATCTGGAAAGTCCCGATGACCTGGTTCACCACGAGTTGGGAGTCGCAGTGGAGGACAATTCATCGGGAACCATATTTGAGAGGCAGCTTCAATCTTGCAATCATAGCTTCGTACTCGGCCTTGTTGTTAGTCATCTTGGGGCATCGTATGGACTGGCGAATCAATTCGCCCGTAGGGACCTCGAGGACGAGTCCCAGTCCCGATCCCGAGGCATTGGAGGCGCTATTGGTGTAGAGGACCCAGAGGTCGGTGTGTGTGGAGGCAAGAGCGCTTCTTGTTCTGCCTCGGGCAATATCTCCGTGCTGAAATCAATGAAAAAGTCTGCGAGCACCTGCGACTTAATGGCAATTCGCAGTTGATATGTTATATCTTGCTCGCTTAATTCTATGGCCCATTTGGTGAGTCTATCCGATAGTTCGGGTTTGTGCAGGATACCTCTTAGGGGGAAGGTCGTTACTACTTTTATGGGGTGGCATTGAAAATACGGTCTAAGCTTTCGCGAAGCTACGGCCAGCGCCAGAGCTAACTTTTCAAGGTGAAGGTACCTTGTCTCGACATCGATGAGAGTTTTACTGATATAATAAATTGGAGATTGCGTACCTTTATTTTCACGGACCAAGACTGCACTTACCGCAACTTCGGAGACTGCCAAGTACATGAGCAGACACTCACCTGGATCCGTTTTGATGAGCAATGACGGCGAAAACAGATATGCTTTTAATTTTCTCAGGGCGTCGACACAATCCTCGTTCCATTGCAGCCCGTGGTCTTTTCTCAGCACATTGAAGAACTTGTGGCATCTATCCGAGGATCGTGAAATGAACCTTGATAAGGCGGCTATTTTCCCCGTTAATTTCTGCACCTACTTTTTGCTGGTCAGTACCTCTAGTATCGCGTCAATGGCTTTGATTTGATTCGGGTTGATTTCGATTCCTCTCTGTGACACAAGGAAACCTAGGAATTTTCCTGAGGCCACGCCGAAGGCGCACTTCTCCGGATTCAATTTCATCCCTTGCTGCCTCAATATCTCGAAGGCTTCTTTTAAATGGCTAATGTGATCTTCCTTCTTGGTCGACTTTACTAGCATATCGTTGACATAGACCTCCATGGTCTTGCCGAGATATTCTTTGAACATTTTGGTAACTAACCTCTGGTAAGTGGCCTCTACGTTCTTGAGTCCGAACGGCATCACTTTATAGCAATAAGTCCCTTGGTGAGTGATGGACGTCGTTTTTTATTGATCCTCTTCGGCCATTAGAATTTGGTTGTATCCGGAGTAGGCATCCAAGAAACTCAGCAGTTCATGCCCCGCCGTCGCATCGATCAGCTGGTTGATATGGGGTAACGGGAAGGAGTCTTTAGGGCATGCTTTGTTCCGATCGGTGAAGTCCACACACATTCGCCATTTCTCGTCCTTTGTTTTGACCATGACTACATTGGTGACTCATTAGGGTAATTTTAATTCTCTGATGGAACCGTTGGCGAGTAATTTATCCACCTCCTCGCTGACCGCTTCATTGATTGCAGCATTGAACTTTCTCCTCATCTGTCGTACCGATGGATAAAGTAGATCGACATTCAGCCTATGAGTGGTGATGTCCTTTGGGATTCCTGGCATATCTGAATGAAAAAAGGCAAATAGATCGGCATTGTTAGTTAAAAATTCACGATACTTACCTGGCTCTGAGAGGTTATGCCCTATGTAAGCCTTTTTTGTGTTGTCGGCGTTGTCCAATTGGACTGGGTCGAGGTCCTCTATAGTTGCCTTGCAAGTTTCTACGATGTCTGGGTCTTTGATGGCCTCTATTGGTGGGTCGGGTTTGGTTCTCGACATGGCTGATTGTTATGCCTGCGCACTTGCACCTTTCAGTTGTTTGGTGTGCGTGCAATCTTGGGTGATCCGATAGCATTCCCGGACGGTGCGTGGCTCGCCTCGGATGCTGAATATTCCCCACGGGGTGGGAAATTTGACCACTTGATAGAAGCTTGAGGGGACGACTCGTATGGTGTGTATCCATGGGCGCCCTATGATGGCGTTATAGACTGTTTCCTAGTTCATGACGTGGAATGTTGTTTCCAGCGTGGCTCCCCCTGCTAGGACAGGTAGCATTATTTTCCCGGACGTCCGCTCTACTGCATTGTTAAAACCCATTAGTGTTATGCAACACGGTATTATTTTATCCTCGAGCCTCATTTGTATGAGAACTCTCAGGTGAACGATACATGCGCCGCTTCCGTCTTCTACCATGATTCTTTTTACATCGGTATTAGCGATGCATAAAGTTATAACCAAAGCGTCATAGTGAGGGAAAGATAAACCGTCAGCATCGGACTTATCAAAGATGATACTGTCTTCGAAGTCGTCATATCGTTCGTAGGCAACCGTCCATTTGAGTTTGTGCGTGGTTGTGAACTTTACATGGTTCATTACCGTGTCGTTGCCGCCTCCAATGATCATCTATATGGTGCGTGCTGGCGATGGTGGCTTTGGAGGTCTTTAAGATGGATCACGTCCTCTGGCAAAGTTGGCCCTTCCTTTGTCACTGAGTAGTTCTTTCAGGTACCCCTGGTTCAACATCCTAACTACTTCTTGGCGTAGAACTATGCAATCCTCGGTCTTATTTCCTCTTTCTTGGTGGAATTCGCAGAGAACATTGGACCTTCTGGTGCTCGGGTCCGATTTCATCTTTTGTGGCCATTGTACCTTCGTGCCCAGCTTCTCCAGTGCATACACTATCTCTAAAGGGAAAACACAAAAATTATGAGCAGATAGTAGTGGAGGCATACCTCTTTCATTTTGGAGGCACGCAGTGTGCCGTTGCAAGGCTTCTGCGTGTCGTGGAGGGGGCACGTTGGATGTTCGAATATAGGGCTGATTCCTTTCTCGGTTGAAGCGTGGTGGTTGGTCTCTTCGCCCGTCATTACGTCGATCTCTCCTTACCTCGGTCTGAACTGACGTTAATCGCTGAATTGGGCCATTCAGATCATCCTCATCTGCTCTTACCTCAGCACAATAGGCATTATGGATCTCTTCCCACATGGTGGGGGATACTTCATGAGTCTGCTAAGCAATTTTTTGATTGCCTTCAATCTGTTCCTGTTTAACCCATTCTGAAAGGCTGCCATTGCCATTCCTTCTAATACGTTTGGGAGGCTCATCCTTACTCTGTTGAATCGAGCCAAGAAATCCCGAAGTCCTTCGCCCGTCGTTTGCTTGATCGCGAAGATATCATTGACCCTAGCTTCAGCCTTCTTCACCCCTGCATGAACGGTGGCGAACTTATCCGCCATCTCTTCAAATGTTGATATTGATCGTGCTGGTAGCTGGGAATACCATGCCAGTGCTCCCCCGTCAAAGTCTCGCCAAACATTTTTAACAACACAGATGGTACTTGCTCCTTTGACAGGTCATTGCCTTTTACCGCAGTAATATAATGGATTAGATGATCCTCCGGGTCTATGGTCCCGTCGTATATTTTCAGGTATGGCGGCATCTTGAATGTTTTTGGAATAGGATGAGGGGCATCCCCTTCGCTGTATGGCTGTTCGACGAATCGGCCCACATCACATTTTGGCAATAGCTTAGGGGCACCTGGTATTTTGTCAACTCTTTCCTGATGCTCCTTCATTTGATCTCAGAGCGTCTTGTTCTTGTTTTCCATCTCTTCCATTTTCTTTAAGATGGTTACGACTGCATCACCACCTGCATCATCTATAGTACGGGTGCTGCCCGTTCGTGTAGTGCTTGGTTCGCTGACAGTAACTGTGATTTCCATAGGTGGTAGGTCTTCGACATTTCCCTGAGGGTTTTTTCGAGCATGTCGCTCAGAGCACTTGTCAACCTTTCCTCTAGAAGTTTTTTGACTGCTGGTGGAGTTTCTCCTATCGTGGATGTGGCGGCTCTCCTTTCGTGCATGATCATTAGATCCCCGTGTGGATAAGGTGAGATCTCCCCCTCCGGTGCAACCCCTGGTGTTGTATTCTCGATGTCTTCTCTACCAGCTTCATTAAGGGAGTTCAGGAGGTTGTTTGAGACATCTGCTATCATCTTCGACCTCGCTTCTTTCTCCGCCATTGTTGGTTTTTATGGGGTTTGAAGAACAGTGATTGTCGTGCTCAAGAACCTAGATGATAACTATGATTTCAGCTATGGAAATCCCCACAGACGACGCCAAATTATTTGACTCAAAAGATTTCGAACTGTTTTTAATCAAATCAATCAATGATGAAGGGATAAATCGTAGCCGAAGATAATAAACTCTAGGATGACAATAGTAGAGAGATGATAATAGTTCAAGGCCAGTGGTTCTTTCTCCCAAATCCCCCTTTTACAAGACTTTCACCATTCTTATATACTGAGGGGTTTTCCCATAATCGTATGGACAACAAATTAAGAAATATCTAATGAATATTCCCTAGGTCACCTAACATGCCGAATCTACTACCGTTGTGGTGGTATCTCTCCTCCCTTTACAGGGTTGTATCCCTTTGTCGACTCATAGGTTTTTGGTCGTTTGTCGTACCCACCATAGGTCATGGTCGATCAAAATCAGACCCATACATATTGCACCACAATGAAGAATATTTTCAGCATTTTTTGGACCTAAAGTTGATATCTTGACCGGAGATGAAGACTATCAAACTTTAGGTCCACTATTAATTATACACTCAAAATATTTTCCTAAAAGGAAAAAAAGCAGACGATGTTGCAAGGAAAACAACAGACAAGTTAACTACAAGGCTTTGTTTCAATTCTTTAAAGCCATATTGAACAAAAACTTTTAGAAATGTTAGTTACTAAACAGAGTGGACACACCCTTTAGACTTCAATGAATAAATACACCCTTTAGGTTTTAAATCAGTTCTCTTCTTGTCCTTCTTTGTTTCCTTTAAATATTATTCTTAATATATTAATTATTGTTAAATATATTTCTCCTTAACATAATTTTAAGAAGTCCAAATATAATAGAATACCTGAACTCCTTCCTCTATTTCTTTAGGACTAGCTAGTCAAATGTAAACAATCCAAGTATTCAAAGAATAGGGGAAGCATACATCAAAATATTTTTCACTACAGGAATACTATCCACAATTCTAGACTACCATTTTTGTGAGTATGAACCACTGTTGAGGTTGGAATGGCAAGTGAAATTATGAAGACGACTTCACCTAAGATATGACCTATCCTGGCATGTGATGCCTGTGATAAGTGCAATTTTTCTAGGTGTTGGTGAACTGGTGATGCATTCTGGATTTTGGATAGGCTTAGTGGTGGAGTTTCCACTTTGAACGACCATCTTTGAAGAACAGATATTGATTGATTGAAGTATTCACTCTTCAAATACAAGGTAAGCCAACCCGTAGAAAGAAAGTGTAAGCAAAAATTCTATTCTTGTACTGTCCAGTCTAAAAAATGTACCCAAGAATGGAACTTTATATAGCTGCCTCGTTGGGATTAATTGTAATGAACCGGCCGGTCGTTTCATGAGTTACCGCCCGTTTCCCCCATTTCTGCTTCTTATTGCTTTGTTTATCGGTACCATGTGTGATCGTGTTGGTTGGCTGGGGTTCGGAGAGGTTTTGGTAAGGTTTGAGACACTTAGTCTCTTTTGAGTAAGCTTAACTTGAAAAAGTCAACCGGATGTTGACTTGTGTGAAAAAGGGCTCGAATGTGAATTTAGATGATTCGAATAGCTTCGGGAGGTGATTTGGGGCTTAGGAGTGTGATCGGAATGTGTTTTGGAGGTCCGTAGTAGGTTTAGGCTTGAATTGGCGAAATTGGTATTTTGGCATTTTCCGGTTGATAGGTGAGATTTTGATATAGGGGTCGGAATGGAATTCCAAGAGTTGCAGTAGTTCCGTTGTGTCATTTGGGATGTGAGTGCAAAATTTCAGGTCATTCGGACGTGGTTTGGTAGAATTTTGATCAAAAGTGTAATTCGGAAGATTTTAGAACCTTAGGCTTGAATCCAATGTGTTTTGGTTGATTTGATATTGTTCGAGGTGTTTTGAGGATTGGTATAAGTTAGAATAGTGGTATATGGCTTGTTGGTGCTTTTGGTTGAAGTCCCGGGGGCCTCGGGGTGATTTCGGATGGTTGGCGGAAGGTTTGGAGTTAAGTTTGGGAGCTGAAGCATTTTTGGTTGTTGTCATAACCGCACCTGTGGTTGGGAGGCCACAGGTGCGATGCCTGCAGAAGTTGAAGGCAACCGCAGATGCGGCCAGGTAGAAGGTTAGCTGGAACAGCAGAAGCGATCGAGGAGGCGCACCTGCGCTTTCAACCACAGATGCAAAAATCGTCAATTAAGTGTTGACCGCAGGTGCAGTAGTCTAGATCGCAGAAGCGGGACCGCAGGAGCGGGATTTTGGCCGCAGGTGTGATTTTTCTGGGCCAGAAAGTATATAAACTCCCCTTCACGAATTTTGAGTTGTTCTTCACCATTTTTATTCGGGTTTGAGCTTGGGGAAGCCATTTTGAAGAGGGATTCAAGTGATAACGTCCGGAGGTAAGATTTTTGAACGTAATAATCGATCCTATGACATTATTTCACTGATTTTGCTTGAAATTAATGGAAGTTAAGGGTTAAAAATTGGGTATTAGGGCTTGGTATTGGAGACTTTGATTTGAGGATTTGAGGGGCCATTTGTGGTCGAATTTTGGGACTTTTGATATGTATGAACTCGTGGGAAGATAAGGAATCTATTGATGTAAATTTTATCGAATTCCGAGACGTGGGCCCGGGAGTCGGGTTTTGGTTAATTTCGGGATTTATGTTGCAAATTGATTATTTTCGCATGGGTTTCGTTCCCTTAGCATATTTTGACGTCGTGATTCTGATTTTGGATAGATTCGACGCGAGTTGAGGCTGATTTGAGGGGAATGGCGTCGCGGGCTAGAGTTTGGACCAGATTGAGGTGAGTAATGATTGTAAATGTTGTCCTCAGGGTATGAAACCCCGGATTTCCCATCGTTGTGCTATATTGAGATGATGCACACGCTAGATGATGAGTGTGGGGTCGTGCACCGTTGGAGATTGTGACTTAGTCCATCCCGAATGACTGTTTACCGCGTATTTAATTGAAAATTGTTTGTTATCATCCTGTTTTAGGCTGAAGGCCATATTTGGGCCTCGTGCCAACTATTTGGACCTTAGGGGATTTTTACTGTTATTTTCTCACTATTTTAATTTTATATCTGCACTCATTCATGCTATATTATACTGTTTTCATAACTCGGCCATGTTTACTCTGTTTTAACACTTTAAATGATATTTTGGGTTGATAATCATATTTTATTATGGATTGTGTTTTGCTATGGGGTACTCGATTTAGTATTCGGTTAGTCGTAAGAACGACTTCCCCCTACAAGTTCTGTGGCAAACCAGAGCTTATCAATAATGCGTTCATCATCTCCTTTAACAAATGATTCTTTCTTTCTGCAATCCCATTGGATTGGGGCGTGCAATGGGCTGTTGTTTGATGAATAATTCCATATTCTAAACATATTTATTCAAAAGGAGATTCATATTCACCACCCCTATCACTTCTTATCATTTTGATTTTCTTGTTAAGTTGCATTTCAACTTCATTTTTGTATTGCTTGAATGCGTCTATTGATTCATCTTTACTATTAAATAAGTAAACATAGCACTATCGAGTACTATCGTCAATAAAAGTTATGAAATACTTCTTTCCACTGCTAGATGGTAATGACATCAAGTCACAAATATCTGTGTGAATTAAGTCTAAAGGATTTGAATTCCTTTCAAGTGACTTATAAGGATGTCCAACTGTCACGCCCCAAACTTGGGGAGGCGTGGCTGGCACCCGGTGCCGTCGTGGCCGGAGCGAACCACTTTGTAACTCATTCATTCATTTTGAAACTATCATGGGCCAACATGGCCACAACTCGTAATGTATAATTGTAAGTGGGCAAACGTTATGTCAATGAACTATCGTTCATAAAACATGAATACATATGGGCCGTCAAGGCCTCTGACGTACTGCACAATCTGAATCTCTGTCTACAAAGCCTCTAAGATTATTCGACATCAAATGGGACAGGGTACCGGCTTACCCATAAGTTTGTAGCAAACTTTGACACGATGACTTTTAAACTTGGCTGCACTCTGAATGAGGTGGAGTCTTACCGATCCTTCGCTGAATGCTAACTTTGTCTACTATGAGGGCTCATCAAACTGATTGTCTATACCTGTAGACATGAATGCAGCGTCCCCAACAAAAGGACATCAGTATGAATAATGTACTGAGTATGTAAGGCAGAACTGAAACATAACAGTAAGTCAACATTAATTAAGGACATGGAAGAAACATGGAGTAAAGGACTCGACCGGTAAGTCTGGATAGCTTTGTAAATCATGAAATATTTATAGTAACATGAATATACGTATAAGTGTCATGTAATGCATAGTTCTATACGTACATAACATCATAAAACCTCTGAGGGCATCCCATCATACCATCTTAGCCACTGTGGGCAAAATCATCATCGTATACCAGCTGATCAGGTGGTGGTGTGTATATAACGCCGTAACCTTTTCACATATCTCATATACATATATACGCGTATATAACGTCGTCTGAGTCGTATTTTAGCCACTGTGGGCAA